ACTTTTCCTGGCTTCAATACAGCCAGCATTTAGTTCTGCATCAGCAGTGGGTAGAAGGTTTAGCAACTCATGACTTGGCAGAACCAGCAATAGAAATAGAGCAAAAAATTCTGGATGAATACTTTATTCACCAGAAAAGGCAATTTGGGACAACTAGGGCAATTTGTGAGTCTCTGCCATGTTTGGTAGAAAAGAAAAATGGTGTATGTATGAAGAAGTTTTCAAAATTTTAAATGAAATAATTCTTGGTTATTTCTTGTTTGCTTTGAAAGATGCCCACCTTTCTTTTAAAAAAATGGAAGATGAAATAAATATTTCTGAAAAAGAAAGAGTTCAAAATATTTTGGTTTTTGTGTTCAAATAATTGAAAAAAAATGTATGTTTGCCACTTTTTCCTTTATTCATCCAGCAAACAACTCAATAGTCACATTAGTCTACGAGTAGTTGCTTGGTTGCTGAGTAGGACATGTGGGACTTGATTTTAATCCAATTTCATCTCAAAAGGGAAGAAGGTCACCAGCCAGATCATTGTCTTCCCAGCCCACCTAGGGCTGCTGAAAGTGAGCAAAGAGAGGACACTACAACTTCCACAGGGCTGGTTAGGTATAGAACTGCCTCCTAACAAAATCTGGTATACTATATATATATACCAGATTTATATATATATATATATATATCAGATACCATACATACTTTCTAGTAGAAGAATAATAGCTCTGATAGCATAAGCTTTTTTTTTTTTTTTTTTTTTTTTTTTTTCCCTGTCATTTTAATGTACATAAATCAAAGAATATGGACATTAAAATCTTGCAGAGGCAAGCAAACATTTATCACAGCTTGGGAAATGATAGCTTTAGTTACTGTTCCCCTCCTCTTCTACTCCCCACCATCAGGGTTTCAGCACTGGACTGCTGGGCTGCCTGRTAATACTGCTTGCTACAGTAAATGTAGTCATTACTTTAGTTCTTTATTAGTGTATTGTAGTGGTTTGTAGTGGTTACACGATAAACATCACAGGGCTGGCCTCAACATCTCCCTGCTACAGGCTGGTTCTTGGCTTCTTCTCGATTCCTCCTTATTTCTGAAATGAGTATTCCACAGAGAAGAAAACATAATTAGAAAATATATTAAGGCAGGTTAGTTGTGTCATAGAGCACCTTTCCAGGTTTCCTAGGGGTGAAGGAATGCTACTGGATGTGGAAGGGGGTATCCCAACAATTAGAACTGGTACTGATGGTTTCCTCTCTATAAGGTTTAATGTATACAAGCATTTCATGAATATCCTGTCTTCCTTTGATGTTCATTTAGAGGAACTTCACTAGGTTCATTGATGTTACAGCAGTATTACATAGAGCACAAACCACTCATTTAAACAGTGCACATGGCTAACAGATTAGGAAATAAATCAAGGGAAAGGAGTTGCTTATCATACTTGGCTCCTGTTGAAGACAGACCTCATTCTGAACAAAAAATTCCTCATTTACTCACTCTAAAACATTGACAGAGCATCTGAATAATTGATATTATTTATGGTTTGATTGGGAGCAAGCCACTGTCTCTCAGAAAACTCCAAAATAAAACTGCAGAAAGGAAGTTCTGCAACATGCAGTCAAACACAGAACAGTTAATTTTTTTACAGAAAGGAAATTACAGGAACTGCTTAGTGTCCTTTCTGCAAGTGATAAAGTTGAATGAGGCAGAAATTCCAAACACAGAGCAAATGGAGCCAATATGCTATTGGGGTTATAGGCTCTTCAAATAAAATTTTACAAGGTCTACCTTTTAAAAATCAACCACCACTAATATTTTATACTTGGTAGCTTGATAATGTCAACCTTGTATTTGTAGTGTTATTGCAGATCTTGCATTCTGTCTGTAAGCAAAATTATGGAAAAGATGGTCAGTGCTCTGGTGACAGTCTGTATTGTGGGATAGTTTCAGATACAACTTTAGATACAACTGTTTGGATGCTTAAAATCAAATGAAGATATTAGCTAATGTGGATGATTCGTGGTCTATACAAAACAGATATCTGTTTGTTGTGTCACACAGCAATATTTTACACTCAAAGTTGGATGTATAAAATTTTGCTCTATAGTGCAAAAGGAAAGTAAGCACTTAGGAATAACATACACAAAGCAGCCTGAAGACTGGAGAGTTTCTTGTGGAGATAACGGGGAAAAGCTGAGGAACTCCAGAAAAAGGGCCATGCCAGTGATATAAGAAACAGATTTTCTCCTTAAAACACAGGAAGAAGCTGCAGCATCTGATAGGCAAGTGGTTATAGCACTCATCTGAAATGTGTGGACCAAGATGAAACCTTTTCTATGCTCATGTCAATAAGTAAATCACTCAACCACCATGAAATACCCTGTGACAGGGCTTCCTCAACCTATACCTGTGCTTGTGACAAGACAGTAAGAACCCCTTTACATTCCAGTGGTTAAGATTCCCGTTTGGAAGAGGAGATTGTTTACCAAGTCCCCAGCTCAATGCATTTTAAAATGTTTCCATACCAAGTGGAACATCTTCAGTGGGATAGGTGGTTGAGAGAGGTCTACTTCAGAAAAGTCTAGGATTTGGGGCAAGTGGACCTTTTGTGGGTAAAAGAAGGCACAGGTGAATGTCAGCTAAGGCAGAGATGGATCGTGACAAACCATGAAACCCACTACTGCTTTGCTTTGTACTTGTTTTAACTCTTGTAGTCTTGGTGCAGTAGATCTGAGTAGTTTTCCATGCATTGGGTGGCTAGAAAAAAACCCTATTTTTAGAAAATTGCACAGGATTTCAGACTTTTATCAACATAGTTCTCTGTACGTAATGGAGATACCATGGTAAAATTACATAAAATGATCGAAAATGAAGGGATCAGTTGTCACTCACTGCAGCACTTTTGCATTTATTTATTTGTAATGTGTTGTTGGAAGCAATCACTTTCTGTTTGCTCATTTAAAGCTGTGCCATGGCATGAGAATGGCTCAACGATAAAACAAGCTAGGTACCTGCCAAGCATATTATGTTCCTCTGATTCCAGCCCAGTAGGCTGGAGTTAAAATAATCCAGCTGGCTCAGCAATTGTGTGAAGGCCATTTATGGCAGCACTGTGTAAGTGGCAGGAAGGCTAACTCAGGGCTTCTGTTATTATTTTGCCCTCGGTGCTTTCAGCACTCTAGGACCGGATTTGCACAGTCAGAAATGCTAATTCTTGTGGCTTCAGCTTTGTGCTTTGTGCAGCACATTCCAGCTGTTTATACATGTCTAATATGACTCCTATGGGCATTTGTGAGGGAAAACAAGCTGCCCCTTAAAAGAAGGTAACAAGTAATCTGTACTCAGCTCTGTTTTACAGAAATTGCAGTGGTTTGGTTCCTACTGTCTCCCGGCTTGTGGCACATCATCTGGGACACTGCAGAGTTTCACTGGGTTTTACAGATGCTCCGTAAAGGTGTAACTTGTAGGATTTTATTGTGTGAGACACAGAAATGCATCCCCACTGTGTATCTAATCTGAAAGTATGAATTCATAGCATCACCTCCTAAATACCTCTCTTCTGTCTCAGATGGGGTGTATTGCATTTTGGGCATGGCAGTGGGCATTGCAGTGCCAAGCTGGAGTGGAGTWGTCACTGCTACAGAGATATATGATTCTGCTTGGAAAAGGCATGCTCCCTGCTGAATGCTATATGTGCTGAGCAGCAGTACTCAGCTCCTCAGAAACTTCCTGCTTGAGGCTCAGGACCTGCACAATAGAGTMTGTGTCATTTGTTTGCATTTTTATTTGTGTCATTAAGCTCAAGAAAACTTTGAAAGCTGATAGTATTTAAAAACATGGTGCACAGGTGCAAAACCTCCTGAAATGGATCCTTTCAGACCAATGTATGTTCTGACTGCCTTGAAAAGAATTGCATAGAGGGTATTATTCAGCCATTGCATACTTATTTGCCATAATTTTTCAGAGTTTTGGGTGTGATTTGTTTTGCCTGACTGTAAATSAACAATTCATTTGTGGTGGCAGTGTCCTCTGAGGTGCTCTAAGGAACCAGAGACATCTCCAGAGATCTTGCTAACGTGTGCACTTGTGGACTAGCAAATGGAGGCTAGATACCTAACGGGGCATTAGATCATGCTTAGATTTAGAAAACCAAGTAAAGCCCTTTGTGTTTATATTGAGATGTAATATCTGGTAAACAAAAGAGAAAACCTGCCGTTGCCTATATAAAAAACTCTTTGCTTAAAAACTTTAAGACTGTAAGGAAAGAWAAAGTGCAAACTTAGCTGTGAAGGACAATATACCTTTGACAGGARTAACATGCATCTCATTAACTGACTACTGTTTACCCTTCAATGCAGGCAATAGTATAAAAAGCCTTATGACATTTTAGTCTTGGAATACGTCTGATTTTATAATGGACCAGTCAATTCAAATCAAAATGAGCTTTTACTATATAGAAGACATCTGATATTTGGACATTTGCAATTATAATATCTATGAAGATGTATTTTTACTATAGAATTATTAGAAAGGGCAAGCAGGGGAATGTTGAATAACATACACAAGAGGTTATGTCAACCAATGGGATACTATGCTCTGAGTTTCCTTTAGGGTTATGGTTACCAAACATAACTAATTATTGAATATTGTAACTAGCTCATAAGAGATTAACAGAGCTATAACTATAATCTTTTCAGGGCTCTTTTCCAATACGTATTGTATCTTGCCCTATCTCTATATTCTTTCTGATAAGCTGTGACTGTAAGTCCACTTATATTTTGTTAGAATTTTAATTCTTTTGCCAAAGACAGTAAATCATAATTAGAATATTTTTGTGAATACATATTTCCATGAATATTTTGATTACTTTACTTGTTATAAATCAATAAGCTAACAAACAAAAAAGAACTGGACTCAAGCTTTTCATAAATGTGTTTATTTTTCAAGCAAATATCTTCAGTTTTTGAAGGAGTCTGGAATATAACATATTGTGCCCCATTTCATTCTAGGTCTCCTACGTTAAAGCTATTGACATCTGGATGGCTGTGTGCCTTCTCTTTGTCTTTGCTGCGTTACTGGAATATGCAGCTGTCAACTTTGTTTCACGGCAGCACAAGGAGTTTCTGAGACTTCGAAGAAGGCAAAGAAGACAAAACAAGGTACAGCTGTTCTTTACTTAGGGTGGCTGAGTTTGCCCTGACAACATGCTGACAGTCTGATTTCTCACCTCAGTTCTTCCTTCCCTTGAAGGAAAGTCTCAACTCAAGGTTTCCTTTTGAGTGATTTACTCCTTGACAGAGAGCTGAAAACTGGCTACTGGGTTTATTTGCAGCTCATTGACCTTATTAATAAATGTCAATAGATTGGTCACTGATTCTGAGATTTTTATTCTCTTCCCCTATTTCCTGAGACAGCTGTACCTTATTACCTATTCCAGGCCAGACTGCTGTTAGATTTTCCTTCCGTCCCCAAATCTTATGCTATTATGGGATATCAGCCAGCAGATAAGGTGCAGTTGGAAGTAGCAATGTAGATAGTGTACCAATATATTTCTCTGTCATCATCCAAACCAAACCATGTTTGAAACCTATCTTTTCTAGTCCATCCCTAGCTAGTCATGTTAAATTGGGAAATTCCTTAGGAGGGCCCCTTGCAGGAGTGATCAGCCATTCTACCCTCACTTGAAAGCCATCAGTGACTGGGATCATTCCCACCTTAAACCAATACACGAGATATTGAAAAACAGAGAGTAGGATTTTTTTTTCTCTATATTCCACTATTTCACAGTTTGTTTTTGATACAAACCAAAAATTGTTAACAAAAGGACTCTCTGTATCACTATCAGATTATTTTATACCAGTGACTGAAATGTCAGATGCTCAGGCTTGTTTTTACTCTGAAGTCAATCTAGAAAAATTTTTAAGAAGTCTGTCTGTCTTTCCTCATTTTTCATTTAGCAAACTAAAAGACAAGAATAGACATTAAACTGAATTGTAGTCATAATTCCTGCAACTATAAGAACTTTACATTATTCATCCTTCCTGCTGTCACTGGTTTTCTGTAAGAGCAGAAACATGAAGGTTTACTGCTGCCGGTGAACACTTGCTAGGTAAAATAAATATTTGCTTGCATTTGCTTGGTAAAATAAATATTCAGTTGAGCTGCACAACAGTTATAAGCAGCAAATAATGGGTTCCTTTACAAGAGGGATGACAACAATGGCACAGGGCATTTTTGTTTTGACATGTCTGTCTAATAAATGTTCTGTAGCTAATGTATTATTTGATGGATGCTCTGGGAAGCAATCCAGTGCTGTCCTCTGGCTTAATGTTATTTTTAGGTGAGYTGAGATTCCTGCTAAGATTAGATTACTAGAGAGAACAGAGATGCTTGCCAGTCGTAGGCACATACWCCAGATGTGCTGCCACTGGATGCCTTTGTTTCCATGAGCTGCAGAACAGCGGCAGAAAATGCTCTATTTGGCCTGCAATTTCAGTTTCAGATACAATGTTTTCTTTAGAGGTGAACAAGTTAGCAAGACATCAACATCTGTAAGGATCAGTGATGGCCTTGACATCATTAAAAAAATGATGGAGCTTTGGCCCACAGAAACTGTCACTCATCTGCTGTGGGGAATGATTACTCTGATGACTATTAAAACAGGGTCTATAACAAAAAAAACAGATCTGCACTTATCTAAGCCTTATATATGGCTTCTATACAARATGGGAAATGCCCTAATGAAACACAAGGAAATAGTCTGCTGGAGAAATAGATGGCTCCCCATTAGCAAAAGCTTGCGTTCACTTTCCTATAAATCTGGCCACTCACTTTACAAGAAGAATAATTATTATGGCCAGCTTTTTATGATGTAGTGTCTGCATCTCTTTACTTGAGGTTTCTTCCTGAGATAATCTTGGTTTATTTTGTCTTGAAAGTGAATCACATAGTTTTGCATGATGGTCTTCTCTAACTGAGCGTTCTTCTCTTTGCGTGTTGTATGTGTTGTTCTGTTACCATTGTACTATGCCCATTTTTGCTGCTGCTGTCTATGCTGACAATCTGGGGACAGGCACAGGCTGTGACTGTTGGGAATGAAAGCGTCGAGTCCGTGCGGCGCATGAATGGCTTGCGGAGCAAAGAGTCATCAGCGCACGGGACAGTGAATCAGATCGGCAATTCAAGTTTGAGGGTAAAACTGTAGTGAGAAAGAGAAAGCAAGAGAGAATTCCAGCATTTGCAATGATGTCATAAATCATTAGAATGGATGATTTTCATGACATCACTAGTAACCTCTTGTATTCTCTTTGCTAAGTGTCACCACAAAATATACAGTACTGTCCCCAGCATGAACAGCAGTTTCATGCATATCTTCCTTTTGGCCCATCCTTGTGCTTGCTTTCTTGTTTCTATGAGTGGATTGTGCCATTCCCATTCCAAACATCCTAAGGAAAGTGCATGTGTATTCCATAGCCTGGTCCTGTAATAAGTGTAGAGTGAGTGGGACAGAAGCAAAGGAAATGTCTTGAGACAGGAAATCCTGCATTGTCTCACCTTTCAAATGAGAACATGCCAACAAAACTATAATGCATATTTAATTGGTATGATACTTATTCCTGCACCATCAACATGCAATGTTCCTTCTCATCATGCCATGAACCCTACTTAGTGGAGAAAGAATACCTGTGAATCCAAAATACATTCTTTGGTTTCTTTATTCTTGTCGGAAAAGAGCCATGGGGCCAAAGTCGTTTACACAGTGTAATGCATAGCAAATCTGAAGAAATAGCATAGCAGCTGATAGATCCAGATTACAGGTGAGTAGCAAAGATAAACAAATCAGKGTTGTAGAGAGAAATGGGCTTGGTGTACAGCCCTCTGCTTGTTACTAGTAGCTGGAAAATGAAATTTGTTCATTTAAACAAAATGGGACAAGAATTTAAATATTTCACAAGTTGATTTCCTAAAGCAAGCACATTGCTGGAGCAGCTTTTGAGTTGTAATGTGTCTCTGACTTTGATCAAGCTCTATGAAAAGTTTTGTGATTGTAAGATACAAATGATTTCAGTGAATTTAGTGCACTATAAAGGGAATTGTTAGCTTTCAAAATCACAGCAGTAAAGTTACACAGTTACTGTTAAACAGAGAAATTAGGATAGAAGKTTTGAAATAGGATAAACTGCTGACTTAGAGACATGATATCAAACAGTGGAAGAAAGCTTTCATTTATGGAGCCCTTTCAAGGTAGAAATAATCATATTTACACATATACCAAGCCAAACATAACAATTGCCAGGAATTGCCAGAGTCTTTCTAGAAGAGGCAATCAGTAAGACCATGCTGCTGTTGGACAGCTGACATCATGCAGCTGTGAAACAGTCCAAGTAAGTATTCAGCACTGCACATGTCATTGATCACTTAGGGGCAGAAGCCCAGCTAAGGTACATGTAAGGACCTGTTATTCTCTGCCTAAGGCAAGTCTGGAGTAATCTCTCTTCTATATTTATAGAAGATGGCTTCTTCTATATTTATAGAAGCTAGGATGGCGCACAATAACGCCATGACTCGGAATTATTTTTACTGCAAAGTCTCAGGAGCTAGAGCTCCAGTGGTGTTGATTTCTTCTAGAGGATTCCCAGCACAGAAAGTAGTTTGTGCTTGAGAGGTGAAGAGAGGAGACAGACTAGGGCAAGGCTATATCCATGTTTTACCCATATATTCAGCCCATATATTCAGCCTGAAAGGGCACAGGTTTTGGAAGGGTTGCTATCATAGTACCAGCTCAGTACATTTCTGCTCAGGGCATCTGCCTGCTGAGAGGAACATGGACTGTAGTGCCAGAGAAGGCTTACAAGCAAGGAGCTTGACTTGCTGAGTTATTGCTTACAGCACTAAAAATTTACAGTAAATGCACATCCAATAATCATAGCCAAGAGGAGGCTGTGGAAAAGAGGGTGACTGAATATTTATACTGCCTCATTCTGTTCCAATTTGGGGAGACAAGGATAGGAAATAAAGCACATCTGGCCAAAATAAGTGTATTAAGCTGTTAGATCTACAGAATAAGGAAAAGACTCTTTTCAGTTTCGTAAGCCCGCATCTCTGTCACTGCTTTCATTAYGGGCTCTGCTGGGTTTTGTTCTTCTTAGTGTGGCAGCCATGAGGGCACTGCATGAAAGCAGAAGAAACCTGAACAGTGGTTAATGTTTCTTTGGAAGGCTTAGGTGGTGTTGCTGATGGTCCAAACATTGCATTTACAGCTGAACCATTGACCTGTCACTGCATTATGGAAGATTGCACTATCAGAACATTTTGCAACATTTTAAACAAAGTAAAATCTTACATCCTCAGCTAATCAGCTCTTCAACCCATTTGCATTCCCCAAGCAGTTTCTGTTAGAGATAGTATTCAGTGCTTGTCTTAAAGACTTGTGTAGCCTTCATGCACACAGTGGAATGCATCCAACAACAGAAGTATGTCTCTGATACGTGGAATGATTGCCTATTTATTACATAACACACTCTACTCCCTTTCGTATAGAGAGAGTATAGTCTTTAGAAGCCAAGAGCCCAATGGTATTGAGGATATAGTACAGTTTCATTACATTAATATTTAAATTTGTGTAGTGCMAGATCACCTGAAAGAAAATTACTTATTTTTAAAATATGATTTCTAATAATCAAATGAGATTTGCTTATTTTTCAAGATAATGGGATTCAAAGGAAGCAGCAGAACTCTGATTACATAGATTCCCATCCTTTCTGAGACACTGATTATTATGTAACATGATCAGTACTCAAAATGAGTCACAGTACAACAATACTCATTACCAGCATCTTGAAGATGACTTACCCCTTGTCCTAAATTATGCATGTGATAGCCAAAAATAGGCATCACGTTTGGGACTGTTAGAGTTAATAGTGATAATTTTACAGCTTGAACAAAAAAAAMCCCATGCAACTGGAGGCTGTAACACTGTAACAGACTCTAGTCCCATGTGCTGGGGGCACAGAGCAATACAAATAGTAGTGCTGTGTCCTGTTGGTTTCACATGCATGCAGATTAGCAAAGGGAGGTACAAATGGTGCTGTCAGATGAAGGAGCTCGGAGTGAGACTAAATGGTTACAGCAAAAAAGAGAACTCTGCTTAGTAAAGATGGAAACATTTGGTGAACAGTTTAGAGAACTGCTGTTCTCTGGGGGAGCTGTCAGTGGAGAGACAGATGCCTGAAGTGTCCAAACAAAATCATTTTGACTGTCAAAATGATAAAATATTTGCATCTTTAAAAAGAAGGAGAGGTACTCATTGAGCAAGACTGCTTTTCAAAGACAGTCTCTGCCATTTTGAGCATATTGAGATACCTCCGTCAGACCTCCAAACAATTTTCTAAGATTTCCTAGATTTTCCTGCTGTAAAAGGCAGTGCCTTTAGCCTGCCTTCCCCTTTAAAACATTTGGTACTACTGTCCCCAATGGAAATTTTTATACGCTAACATCCGTGTGTACAGTGCCTGGCAGTGTAATGCACAGTTTGCGTTATGTAACCTGCTGCATCATGTGAATAATGGAAGTACTCAAGGAAAACCCTTTTTGCTGCGCTATTTTTGGTACTCACAGATCAAGCCCAAGCACACGAGTTTCATTGTGAAAAATAGGAATCCAGGGTGAATGACTTTCTCTCTCTCTCTCTCTCTCTCTCTTTACTTAATGGATTAAACACAGGGTAGATTGTGTTATGGATAAACACCCTCAAGATATTTTGGTCACTTTTATTTCTCCAGGGCAAACTGCATTAGCACTTTTATGTAATGACACTAAAAAAATCTAGAAGATAAATACACCAAAATGATCATTTATCTTGATCAGCTCTGCCCTGCTCTGGTGAGGCCACACCTGGAGTATTGGGAGCAGTTCTGGGCTCTGCAGTATAAGAGGGATGTGGAGCTTCTAGAGAGGGTCCAGCAGAGAGCAACAAAAATGATTAAGGGACTGGAGCATCTCTTGTGTGAGGAAAGACTAAGCGAGCTGGGCCTATTTAGCCTGGAGAAGATTGAGAGGAGATCTGATCAATATGTCTAAGTACATGAAGGGTATAATGCAGGGAGGAAGGGGTCAAACTCTTCTCAGTTGCGGCCAGTGACAGGACAAGGGGTAATGGGTGCAAGCTGCAACACAGGCAGTTCCATCTCCATGTGAGGAAGAACTTCTTCACTGAGGGTGACAGCCCTGGCACAGGCTGCCCAGGGAGGCTGTGGAGTCTCCTTCTCTGGAGATCTTCCAAACCCGCCTGGAGGCCGCCCTGTGCCCTGTGCTCTGTGTGTCCCWGCTGGAGCAGAGGGGTTGGACTTGATGATCTCTAGAGGTCCCTTCCAACCTCAACCATCCTGGGATTCTGTGATTATAGTTGGATATACTACAGTATGCATTTTGAGCTACAGACATTGAACTTGTCAAACTCCAGACAGGGACAATGGACATGTGTTACTAAGTCACCTTGTGATTTTGTGTCAATACCTGCTTTTAAACTGTGACTATGAATAGTCGGAATGGGTTTAGTTAACATCAGAATATTTGTATTGTTTATTAACTAGTGTTGTTATAAAGGATTGAAAGGTTTAAACAAAAACATCATTTCAAACTAGAAAAATGTTGCCATAGAAGATTTAGGTTGAGATCTAGATTTAAGTCTAGAGTAATGTAAGAGAGAGAAGAGTATTAAAATCAAAAAAAAGTATGAAAAGAAGCAGATTGGTCATGGGGGTGCTATATGAGCAAGTCTGTCTAGGTGTCCCAGAGTAGATGAGAGAATAGAAATACGATAGCAACTAGCAACAGAGAAAATAGGGGGAATTAAGTTACTAAGCTTCCTGGAAAAGCAAATAAAAAAAATTTAAATAGAAATACAAACACAGACAAAGAAATAGTGTAAGCTTTTTTTTATGTATATATATATATAATCTACTGTTTGCAAGGGTTGCAAAAAGCAAATGTGTATTATTTTCTCAGACACAGTAAGATGACAGATTGTATATTGTTTCACCCCAAATCAAGAAACAGAAGAGAAAATGGATAGTCAAATTTCAAGGGAGAAAATATTGGAAACCAAATAAAAAGTTGGGCAGATTAAAGATTCTGTAATTAAAGGCAGACTAGTTTATGGAAAATGTAATATCAGTTTGCAGAAGAGATTAT